TATAACATCATTACCCAGCAGTGCGCTCCAAAAGTTAGTAATTTGTCACCTAATTAAGGTTGACTGAACAGTAGTTAATTAACTAGGGACCGTACAACAATTTTATTTTTTCTGAACTGCGTTACTTTTAGGTTGAAGTAAGCGCATGTGCTACACCTCCAGCGTTTCCTTCTGTGACTTCACAAACAACACCTCCTGTTCAACCAGCAGCTAAACTACTAACCCCTCCAGGTGTTTATAAATTTAACACTGTTCTTACAATCCTGACTGTAAGCTTATAATACCATGACCTATATGGATCTGCTCGACATTGGTTTCAAGAAGACAGGTTGATAGCGAGCTTTTCAACTATGATAGTAAATACTGTTAAGAGTAAAGGAAACGTGTTCACTAGGGTGCAGACTCATTATTATTTTATAACCGTTATTTCCATCAGCTGATTGTAGTTATTATTCTTCTCAGATTTGCTTGTTTCATTTCTTATAAAAATTAAGAGTCTCAAATGATGGATTTGGAGTTTGACTGTTCGGACAAACTAGATGGGCAGTACCCTCTCGGTTGCTCTCGAGATTTCATAACGTGCAACCACGGTGAAACTTCGCGTATGTCATGTCCAGGAAAATTAGTCTTCGATCCGTTAACTGGTCACTGTTTAGAAAAGGTAGATTCTTACCAATTGGACCTGTTTTAGTCCAGTAAGCTATAGTGGTTTTTTTCTGTTCTCCCAGTCAGTTTTTCCCTTCATTAATTCTTTGGAGAAATGAGCCAATTTAGGTAACCATTCGTGATTTTCAGCAACACGTTACGCTTTGTGGTGGCAAACCTCTAACCTCACCTCCAACTACAGCTTCACCTGCAACAACAACCGTCCTTGCTACCACTACTACTTGTTGTGGCGAAGTTCCGAAAATGGTTACTCCACCTCCATCAACAACAACAGCTCCACCTCCTCCACCAACAACAACAGCTCCACCTCCTCCACCAACAACAACAGCTCCACCTGCAACCACTACTTCATGCGCTGAAACTGCACCACCTGTTAAAGTAGTGATTGCTCCAGAACCTGCAAGTAAGCAATTCTTTATGCTGTCTGCGAATCAGCATTTATATTCGAGTTGTGCTGCATTCCAACTGTTGAAACGCCATGATTTCTGCGGATTGAATTTACTTCCTGTCATTTTGTCCTTCATGAGTCTTTTGACAGCTGTTTAGAAGTCGAACTATTTTCAGATTGCTGCGAAGAGTAAACGGCGGGCGGAGCTGTGGGTATAGAGGCGATTTGATGTTTTATGCTCTTTCTCCATTAGTTTCGGGTTTTCAGCTTCTGGTGTTTTCTAATAGAATCAATAAATATTTTTATAAAGCGAGGTGTTTAGCTATACTGATTGAAAAAAAGCATGGATTTGAAAAAGCCCGCTTGTGGACCGCAACAAGTAGGCCAACTGAATATAACGCTTTTTCTATTGTCCTTTTAAAGAAGCAGGTGGTAAGCAGTTATTTTGAGCGAGAAGCATTTCAAGAATTGAGCACTTATAGAGACTAGAAGTGTGAGGAATGAGTCTAAACATCCAAAGATTTTGGGACAGTAGCACTAGTAAAAGGAGACTGTTCTGCAGACTTTCTGGCAAGAGGTTCAAGAAAGATCAGAATTCCACTCATCATGCACAATCTCCACTCACTCTTTTCCGTCACATGAACGGTGCTCAAATACATAGCTCATTCCTTCGGGGTTGCTCACCATTGCCAAGTGGTGTGTTGTCGATCCTGTTGGCAATGCGTTAGCCTGGCTAGCGGTACAGATGCTCAAGCTGTGCTCCGTTGTTTTAGAGCAGAATTCTAGTAAAAACATTTGTAGTACTAATGTAACAGATACCAAGTCGTACAAGTTACGTACTTCAGTGCCACCTCTTGATGCTGTTTCAACAGCGTACTAAAGAGTAATGATGTCCAGCACCTAAAGGAGTGAGTGTAGATGTTGCTGTTAGTTGTTGATGTTGCTGGACTAACAAGTATCAGTGAAACTCGGAGTCTTCTTGAGGAAAAAGTAGCTATCCTCAACAACCATTACAGTTTTTCAAGATATTAGCAAAATCGCACGTCTTAGGTTTCACAAAATATTTAAGGCAAGTGTCTTTAGAGCCAAAAGTAGGTTTTTTGCTAAGGACTTTACCAGTGCAACATTGTTTATACAGGAACTCTTCTTTCGCGTAAAAAACTAAGAATAAAATTCATACTGTCTGTCCCAACAAAATTATTTACATCAAAAGGCCTGATTCGTTAAAGTTCTAGGCATACTTTTACAACAACAGTTCCTGAGCATTCATAAAGCATTTGTAATCATGAGTTTAACACGACAGTACTCCCAGCAGCAAAGCGCAGAGAAAAAGTTAAATTTTGATACCGAATCGTAGTTCAAAGTGTATAAAAAATTACCCATCGGCTTCCGTTTCTTTCCACCGGGCAAATTTTCAGTCGCATAAGAACTCTGCAAATTTTACTAGATAGAGAGTCTAGCAACAATTAGTTCATCAAAATCAATGTTCGACTCTTCCGGTGTAGGTTAATTCTCGAAGACAATATCAAAAGCGGTAACTGTCTTGTAGACTAAGTCAGTTTGATCTATTACGACCAATAATCTGACCCAAGCTAAGATCAAAAAGAAAATGTACTTCAGGAAACTACTACGGAGGCAATAAAATTTTCTTCACAGAGCACTTACATCGAAGTTTTCCAATTACACTCCACTGATCTACGAGGACGAGGTGCTCAAAACCTTTTCGTGAAACGGTACTATTAGTTCACCAGTCTCCTTTTGTACCGGTTGGTGTATGACATTGTTCGTACAAAATGCAATTGGAGGGTGCATTTCTTGCGATTCTTGCTGGTACGCAATTCCCCACTAATTCAGTTTTTTGGCTTTCTTGAACAATTCATACATCATGTGTTGTTGCTGAGATTTCTTCGTATTTTCAAATCATCAGTTATATAACATAAGAATCCCAGATTGGAAACGATGTTTTCCAAACTGTTATGTAATTTGCCAAAGCTTAAAACATATATTTTTTTCTTCAGGTCTTTCATTTACTAAAGTCTGGGGTAAGTCTATTCCCGAAAGTACAAATAGTATCAAAGGACGGGTAAAAAAGCAGATAGGATTTGAAAACTATGGAGGAATTCATATTATAAGTCCTTTTGAGAGTAAGTAATTTCGTTTCACATTCTTTTCTCCCTATAATTGTATCAATTCATAAATTATGTAACCTTGAAAGAAATTGACCATTTAAGCTTGCGAAGGATTGGACTATGGAGTTCACAGCTTCGGGTGCAGTCCAAACTACGTTATCAGTCTCCCGGACAATTGTATCAATGCCATTTGTCCCATTGGTTTAGTTTTTGATGGTCAAACGCATCAGTGTGCTCCAATGGTACATTAGTTATTGAACTTTTTTTCCCACTTGCTTTTCAATTTAGCTGCTGGCTTCCATATACAGATACAAGTGATCGAATGCGAGGAAGAACCGTTCCCTCCAACTCCTCTTCCAACCGCAAGCCCCACCGAAAAACTTCCAGTGGTTAAGGCAGTTTCTGAGCATCCAAGGACTGCCCCTATGCTGCTTCAAAATCCTTTGAAAGGAGGTAGGGTCTTTATAATTTTAAGTTTCTCTGAAAGACCTGTTGAAATATCTAGCTTCTGTCTCAAGAAGAATTCTCAAGTTATGAAACCGAACACCAGGCAGAGGGTTATGAACTAAGGTCAAAGCGGGAAGATTAGTGCGTAGAGGGCTGTTGCTCACTGCTTTCCCTACGCTGCCCAGTTCCAAATTTGTGTTTTAGAATTACGTAATATCCATTTCAGAATGCAAATGTGGGCGGAGCGCGGACGGAGTCTACAGTACGGGATGTTCTAGATTCTTTTGCTCTTGTAGATCCGGGAAGGCCATCCAACTTCAATGCCCGAAGCCTTCTGTATACAATGAAGAAACA